CCTCCCCCCCACCATCCATCTGTCCATCCGTCTTCCATCCACCCCTCCATCGTCCATGTGTCCATCCATCTTCCATCCACCCCTCCATCGTCCATGTGTCCATCCATCTTCCATCCACCCCTCCATCATCCATGTGTCCTTCCATCATCCATCCACCCCTCCATCATGAACGTGTCCATCCACCACTCCATTGTCCATGTGTCCATCCACCCCTCCATCGTCCATGTGTCCATCCACCCCTCCGTCGTCCATGTGTCCATCCATCTTCCATCCACCCCTCCATCATCCATGTGTCCATCCATCTTCCATCCACCCCTCCATCATCCATGTGTCCTTCCATCATCCATCCACCCCTCCATCATGCACATGTCCACCCACCCCTCCATCGTCCATGTGTCCATCCACCCCTCCATCGTCCATGTGTCCATCCACCCCTCCGTCGTCCATGTGTCCATCCACCCCTCCGTCGTCCATGTGTCCATCCATCTTCCATCCACCCCTCCATCGTCCATGTGTCCATCCATCTTGCATCCACCCCTCCATCATCCATGTGTCTATCCATCATCCACGTGTCCATCCACCCCTCCATCGTCCATGTGTCCATCCATCATTCATCCACCCAACCCTCCATCATCCATGTGTCTTTCCATCATCCATCGACCCCTCCATCATGCACGTGTCCATCCACCCCTCCATCGTCCATGTGTCCATCCACCACTCCATCGTCCCTGTGTCCATCAATCTTCCATCCACCCCTCCATCATCCATGTGTCCATCAATCTTCCATCCACCCCTCCATCATCCATGTGTCCATCCATCATACACGTGTCCATCCACCCCTCTATTGTCCATGTGTCTATCCATCATCCATCCACCCCTCCATAGTCCATGTGTCCGTCCATCTTCCATCAACCCCTCCATCGTCCATGTGTCCATCCATCTTCCATCCACCCCTCCATCATCCATGTGTCCATCAATCTTCCATCCACCCCTCCATCATCCATGTGTCCACCCATCATCCACGTGTCCATCCACCCCTCTATTGTCCATGTGTCTATCCATCATCCATCCACCCCTCCATAGTCCATGTGTCCATCCATCTTCCATCAACCCCTCCATCATCCATGTGTCCATCCATCTTCCATCCATCCACCCCTCCATCATCCATGTGTCCATCCATCTTCCATCCATCCACCCCTCCATCATCCATGT